CATATTCGAGGTGGAAAGAGACGGCGGAGCTATTGCGCTCCTCATCCGACTTCAGCCAATTAGCTTGCGTCACAATATTAATGGGAATTTAAAATGCAGCCAGATGCCAATATCACCTTGTTACACTGATTGAAACAGATATATGAAGCACTTAACATATATATGAAGCATCTTTCACATCAACTATAAGTTATTTTTGGTTCGTCACCGTTCAAAATTGTCACTTTAAGCCATTTTCAAAATGTTTTTTTAACACTTCTCGCACTCCATGCAACATGGCGGCCAGCATCTGGCTGTTCAAACAAATGGAGCTGCGAATACAAGATGATGATATGGCCACAAACTTTATCCCACGATCCGCCATATTGCTCTGCCCAGAACGCTTGGCGGTGTCCTCGTGTTGGGGTGTGTTATTGGTCACGGTTTTTATTATTTAAAATCCTTTATCAGGTGAACAAGCTTTCGTACAGATCGTCTTGATTGCTTGTGTGGCTTACTGCTGTACAAATCGTTCAGGAAAGGCGCGAATTACTTTTCACCTGTAAGAAGTTACTCTGTAAGGTTTGAAGATCATTGGAAAACTCGATGCATTCGTTTAGTTTAATGATTTTTTCCTTTATATCAAACGAGGAGAGCTCTGTGGATTAGAGCTCCGAAAAGACAACTGGCAGCCTTGTATTTACATCAAGTTATACTCTCTTCATTTTCAAAAAATTTTGACAGAACGTCTTTATAAAACATGTTTGCGGAAACTCGCAGTTCCAACAAGCCTAACAGTTTCTCTACCACATCTAAAAAGTAAATTGTGCAGGAACAATTCTTCACGGAAGATGTCTTTAGACGGATAACCAACATTGTAACTTTTGACGTCTTCTAAAAAAAACCAAATGTTTTGCACAATGTTAATATCAATTGTATTATTGGTTCATCTACAAACTTTAGGACCCTGCTCTTGACTTCAGAAGAGAGCAAGTAATGCTTAAATAAGTTAATAGTGAAATAAAAATAACAGTTCAGAAATACTATGTGCGGTTTTTTAATCGTATAGGCTAATCGATATGATAGCTTGCCTTCCAAATTTAAGAATATTTCCCCTTGCCCCTTCAGAATGTTACCAGTGTTAAGTTTTTATTTAGTTGAATACTTTTTGTGAAAAATCTCAAAGGCAATAATATTAGTGATACATTTAGTAATGCAATATTCTTGACTTTTTAAGTTTTACGTTTTTTGGTGTTCATACACTGGAAATACACTACAGTGACAGCAAGATTTGTAATAAAGCTTCTCCGTTATAGTTATTATATTCAACAATATTTTTAAGATTATGAAATTCCATTGAAAATTGATATTACCCATTTATTATCCTTTATCTCTCTTTAAGAAGCTTTGTATTAACATTTGTGACGTAAAAGTCATAAAATAAATAATGTTAAATTATTCAACAATACTTTTTTCTTTGATTAAATCCACCTTTCTTAAAACTTCATTTAAAAGCGACCACAATTAAGTATATACTCTTTTATCCTAAGTTAATAATTTCTAGTAAATGCACCGTTGATAAACATGAATGTGAAGACATTTTATGCAGTGGAAATGTTGATTTTCTTGAGAAGTGGTTCCTACAAATACACATGGGACACTATGCGCTGGATTTCAAGTAGTTTAATGAAGAAACCTTTTGCTGAATTAACAGTAGGTTTTACTAGAGTATCGTCTTTGGCGAAGCTGCTGCTTTTTATTCTGTTCCAACTCAATTTTTAGAACTGGTCCCTCACTACCTTCCGTGCGCGTCCGCCCTTTCTTCTTCCTACGTCTCGGCGTCGGAATATCCTCGCCTCACACTTTTTAATAAAAATAAAGACACGGTGCGTCAATTTTACGTAATGGACAATTTTCAGCCAATTGTATGGAATGACCACAAAGTCTTAAATTTATTAACATGGGACAGAGGGCAAGTGCATATGGAGTGGGTATGGCGGATTGTATGTTGTTGGCCTTATCTGAAATAATACCGTCTCTAGATATCTCGGGAAGAGCAGGTGGTCCTAGGTCAGGTATGATGAAAATTGTACGTTATTTACACACACACACACACACACACACACGATGTTAATGACAACCTAATCGGAAAAGTGAAGATGCGTGTTTATTGACCAAATAAGAGAAGAGAATCATACCAAATAAAAACATATTTTTTGTAATTCTAAATGAACTCCTTTTGGCAGTGACTTAAAAAACTTCATTCGGCACTGAATTTGCCACACCACTTTCGGAAATTTGCTATCATCCGTTCTTTTTACTGATGGGAGAAGCCATCTCGTCTAGTAGTTCTCGATTTCTTCCAAAACGCTTTCAAAGCACATGTACAGTCTTACTCCATCACCTCTGATTCCGCCAGTCCTTGTATATCCGAAGATTGTACGCAAGAACCTTATTTCAGTCCTATTCTTTGCTTTTGCTGGTCTGCCATGGTCTAACATGCAGGGATGTTGTAACCGACAGAATTTGATAAAATTTCATAATTGATTCAACTCTGGGTTTACCGATTAAAATTGTATTAAATAGCAGGTGCCGCAAACCCTAATTTAAAATGTACACCTTCAAAACTTTGAAGGCTTCAAATTCAACCAAGGTATTTACAATTCTGAGCTCTTCCACTGATTTGGCATTTATTACAATGATTGCTCTTTTCAGTCTTTTTTTCCTTAAAATGCTTGTATTTTTGTTTCATTTATAGAGATTTCAATGAACATTTTGGAAGTTCTAATTAGGTCTTATAAGTATGATTATAAACGTACGAAATCTTCAGAAGTAACATTGCGTCGCTACAAAGGACACTCAATGAAGAGCAATGCGAAATGACGGCATATCATCTAACTTTCCCATACTGAAGGTACTGAAGAAAGTTCGAAACGATCAACTAAGGTTTGATCGTCTGTGATTAATCCAACGTTGAACTGAGCTGTCACTACTCCGGCAAGGCGGTTCGTTTCCTGACTTGGTCGCCGCCGCCGTCAAGCGGAACGAAGCCACCAACAGAGCACGACGAGGCCAACTTAATAACAATGCCGACACTTCTTACAGCATTGATGAGTGGAAAACGAAATCGTCAAGACATAATCGATGGTTAAGGCCTATTAACCCTTCTGCTACCGAGGGGGGTAACTGAGTTACCCCAACGCATGTTCTATTATTTTTAATGATCTTATAATTTTTTACAATTGTGATATCCTGTGTAGTTGCGTTTTACTTTTCTACCTAAAAATCTTGTTGGAAAAACTTATAATCGAATTTATACATGGGGTTACTACCTTACCCCGTTGGATTTGGACGGTCGGGATTTAATAACGTGGTTTGAGGTTATGTTATCAGCGGGAGATGGGAAGTGGTTTCCAAGCAATCATAGCATTTCTCGTGGCATGCTTTGGGGCGTTATGTTCATGCCCACAGTTGGTCCGCCCTCTTAAGCCGTGACGTAGCCAGAGCCCTCCTCTCCCCGCACCATCCGCCGCGGAAAATAACGAAAACTTGCGCGAATAGTACGTGAACATATCGAAGGATTATAGTCTTGAAGGATTTGAAAAGTTATTAAGTACTCTCAATGCAGACTATTTGCGTGAAGTTAATGAAGTGTACAGATTGTTTTATGAGAGTGATAAAGGTAATGTAGACATAGATAAAGTTGACATTTTTGTGCTGACGACGAGGAAAACGTGAATGATGGCGCCAGATCAGAAACTGATGAATAGTACAATTTGTTCTAAAAGAGGCATGATTTAGCATTCTAGACCTTTTCATCGTGGTCGAAGACCTGCTTGTAAAATATATTGTTAAAGTTGCTAAAAATTTTATTAATATATCAAAATAATTTTTAAATTTACCAAAACAATATACTACGTTTATGCTAAAATATTAAAACTATACTGAATTTTCTCTGGGAGAACTTCGTTAAATCCCCCTCCCTCTTTGTTATTAGATTTGTGCAAAATGCGTCTGTAATAAGCGACGAAAGAACAGAAGTTCTTCGGTTTCCGCCCAGTATGAGCTTTTCTTTAGGCTAAATACGAGGGGTATGGGGCCATAGTTACAGGGTGCCCAAAATTAGATTCGTATTTAAACCAAATAAAACCTAAAATGCTTGATAGAACTACCCCGGAATAAGAAAAATACTTTGTCGCGAAAAAAAAAATACTTACGTACCAAAGTTTCGTAATTCAAACCACATTCACGGCCACATTCAACTTTTGACGGACGGCAGATTATGGGGGTCTCTGATATTCAAAAGTATTTTATGGTTTAAACTTCCGTCTGTCCTTGAACATTGCGGTTAATTAAAAGAATTAAGAGCGTTGTCTTGACCAACATTTATTGTAAAATTAGCTATCGCTGTCTTAGTCATCTGATAAAAAACAAACAAAAAAACAAAACGCACATTTCAGTTATGAACTAATCCATCGATCATTGAAAGCTGAGAGGAGCTAGAGGGAAAGGAGCTAGCTAGAGGGAAAGGAGCTAGCTAGAGGGAAAGGAGCTAGCTAGAGGGAAAAGACTGATGCTAGCTAGATGGAAAGGAGCCTTAGCTAGGAGGGGGAAAGGAGCTTCTAAGCTAGAGGGAAGAGCTTAGAGGTGGTAGTTCGTATGTTTTTTTTTTATTTGTATTTATTTAGTTAGTAGCACTTATAGAGGGTGGTTAGAGCTTAGAGTGGTAATTGATTGCCTATTGATCGGTGTGAAGAGCTAGAGGGTGTGTTTTTATTAAGGAGCTAGAGAATTAGTTTGGGTGAATAGAGCTAGTATGTTGGGACGTAATTAGTATGTATCGAGCTGGGGTGAATTGTTGTTTTATAGAGTCTATTAATTTTTGAGTATGTGAAGAGCTACGAGGGGTTAAGATTAGTTTTTTTAGATTGGGAGATAGCATAGATAGGTTGGAAAACGAGTAGATGAGAGGGGAAGAGCTAGAGGGGAAGAGCTAGAGGGGAAGAGCTAGAGGGGAAGAGCTAGAGGGGCGGGGCTGCGCTCACCTCCGGCTGCGCGTTGGGCGGCGGGGGCGGCGGCGGGGCGCCCATCTGCGCCGCGCTGAGAGCGGCCGCGCGCGCCGACGGCAGCTGTTCCAGCAGGTCCGCGCGGTTGGCCAAGTGAGGCCCCACGTACAGCAGCACCACCAGCACGTTCAGGCAGACGCTCAGGCGCAGCAGCCACTTCTTGCCCTTGAGCATGGCTGCGGCGGCGGCGGCGGCGGCGGCGAGGCGGGCGGGCGGCGGCGGCGAGGCGGAAGCGGACCTGGCGGCGGCGAGGGCGGCGAGGGCGGCAGCCGAGGGGCAACGGAGGACGCATTCCATCCTCAGCTCACGGGCGACGCTGCAACAGCACACAGTGCGCTTCAGCACAGGCACAAGGCCCCCATTCTTTCAGGGGTTCGGGGTTACAAGAGCTGCCTGCTGGTACTGCTGGTCGATTGTAACATTAGTCGAGTTTAATTAATGCCTTATTTTGCGTGGGGAGACTCGCTCAAATGCGCACATCTCCGCGCATACGCCCTGAGGAAGGTCGCAGAACGGCGAACGAAACGTCGGCACCTTTGCCGTGGACGCGGCGTCATCCGGACGGAAAATTAAATACAGACTCCGGCCGCTGAAGCCTACGCTCTCACTGGAATCTACGTTCCGATGTATTTGTATAAATAAACAAAGTTCAATGAATTTAGTAACAGTGGGAAGGAAGGGAATCGCCGATTTCCGGAAGGGGTTAACGCCAGGAGGGGGCACAACGAAACGGAGGCGGATCCAGCCGCTCATTGGGGGAGGGGGGGGGAGCATCATGGATATTTGTTTATACAAATATATTTTATATTGTATACTTTTTTGTGGCGTATGTTACAATACAATTTTAATTTTTTTAATAATTACACAATTCTAATAAATATTTGAAGCAGGTTTGCCAAACAAAGGAAGGAAACAAACGAAAACTATGCCTTTACTATTTGAACACCAATTGGACGAACTCTTAAATGAATCAGAATGGATAATGAATAATATGTTCAGGTGCTAACTATAGAACACCACACTGAATACCAACAACGTCAGAGCTTTTAATATAACCACCTTTGCTCCTCTAAACGCTGCAAAAATACCTTTTCTTACTAAAAAGTCTTCATATAAACAATCTGTTTCCTCCATCACGGTCCGTTGCTTCATGACCTCTTAGAGGTCGTTTCTGTCCCGTCTCAAACGTAGGCTTATAATAGATATATAGATCAATCCAAAGGTTCCGGCCATGTAAATGAAGGAAATTAGGAACAATTGGGGGCTCGTTGAACGTGGGCCGAACGCGGGGAAGCAGCAATCTCCTTTAAGGCGGCGCATGGGCTGTGGCAAGCGGCTCCTTGGGCTTCCCCGTCGGCGCCGGCGCCCCCCGCGCCCCCTGCTGGCGCCGGCCACTCCCCTCGCGGCATCGATCGGCCGCG